AAAAATGACCAGTCGAGTGTAAGTTTTGTGATTTATACTTATTGTTTTTGATATTTTATTGCAATATGGTTGTTATGCCTTTTAATCTGGCTTAATAGGATTAGGCATCTTGCAATATTGTAAAGACTTAAATTTTTCTTAAATTAGTGTTGAAAACATTAAAAAAACTTATATATTTGTAATGCATGAATTGTGCAGATTAATTAATTAATTTATTAACTTGCCATTTTTTTCGGTTTATGAATGTTGTGTTTTGGTTGATCTGTTTAGGTGGAAGAGAGCAGATATGTGTTTGAGGCCAAAACTATCTAAAGAATAGAGATTTTGGTATTCTCCATGCTTCAATGGAAGATGAACACTATAACCTCACTTTCATTTCTTGATTACTTTGCAATGAGACTTGGATTAAAAGACCATCTTTGTTAGGAATTTCTTAGGAGATGTGATCGCATTTTGCTCTTTATCATTTCAGGTTAGCACCAAAACAAAAACCTCATTTTCTTTATTTATCAAATTATTAATTGGATTTGAATTGGATACACTATGTAATCTATATAGAAAAAATAAGATCAATTGTATTATTTTTATGTTTTTTTTCAAATTTTCATCTTTTTCTTAGTTTCTGTTAAATTCATTGGAAAATTTTAGGTTTATGTGCTACCTTCCTTCAGTGATGGCCACTACTATAATGCTGTATGTTGTGGATAATGTAGAACCTAATCTTAGAGTGGAATACCAAAACAAGCTATTAGGCATCATGGGAATTGATAAGGTATCTTATTTCTTTAGCTTTTTCCAATGTTAAATGTGTAAATTTCATCCTTCTTAAATCTCAATTTATCTTTCAATTAGGACAATGTAGATGAATGTTGTAAGTTGACAATAAGATTAGCAACAATAAAAGTAGAAGGCAACCAATCAAACAAGCGCAGTTTTAGCTTCATTCCAAGAAGCCCATATGGCATAATGGATGTGGCATTTAGTTTTTATAAAGCAAACGATTCATGGGTTATGGCATCACTTATGTTTTCCTTACTTGAGCCTCTATTCAGGAAAAGTAAAACTCAGTAAGACTAGTTCCTGAAAAAGATAAGCCATGCTCTTTTAGACTTTCTCAACATTCTTCGCTAAATTTCCTCTTCAATTCCTCTCTTTTTTTCCCTTTCCTAAACTATAAATTGTCTTTGTAATAATATTGTTGTTCTTTTGTATGATGCACAAGTTAAATTGCTTATCATCTTTACATTTTCTAACCAAAACCCAAATTGAGATTATCTTTAGTTTTCTTATTCTTAATCATCCCTTTAGGGTGACTAGTGAGGAAATTTGAAAGTAGAAATGGTTTGCATTTTATCTAAAAGAAAGTAAAAAAAAAAAACAAATACGAATGTAGCGATGTGGAGTCATTGCATAAATGTTTAGGCCTTTTTGTTTTATGAAGATAATGTTAATTTAACTCACTATAAATAAAAAAAATGTCACATTTATAATATTTTATGTACACATTGATTGACAAACATACAAAGGTGTGTATTTATATGAACACATGCATAATATGAGTATCCAGTGGTTCCAGTAACCTCATTTAGGCGTTATTTCCAAAAACCACCAGTAATCTATGCTAGGAGACAGGGAAATTAGATATTTCAAGCACATTATATGGGGCCAGAAAGATGCTCAAGATTATATAATTTTTTTGTTTAACAATTAACATTTTCTATTCAACATTACAATTACCTAATAAAATATTAATTCAATACAATATAAAAAAGTAATTAAAAAATTGAATGAAGTTGGCCCCAATTACTAGTTTATACATGAAAAAAATGTCACAACAAGATTCTTGTGAAAGAAATAAAATAGAATTAAAACATTCTCTAAGGTCAATTAAGACTAAATGCTTAATATTAAACATTTAGGTGGTTGCTCAATTCAAAATTAAATGTTTTAATTTATATAAATAAATATTAAATATTATCGACTTGTAACAATATATGATTTTTTTTTTGTCAAAATATGCCATAGGTCATTGTACTCTTCGATTTTTATAAATTTAGTCCCTTTAATATTATTTAAAAAAATTTAGTCCTTATAATATTAATTTTTAAAGATTTTAGTTCAATTGTTAAAAATGCATAGGGATTAAATTTTTTTAAAATATTGTATAAGACTAAAAAATTCTTAGTAGAAATCAAAGAAATACAAAATCTGTATGACACATTTTTAACTGTTTTTTAATAGAAATTAAAGATAAAAGATATGCGGCGTTAAATTTGATAAAGTGGAATTAAGTTTTTTACGTGGAATGACAGATAAAAAGGCTCTTGGTTTTTTTTTTTTTTTTTTCTAAGCCTATTTGATTTCTCTTCTTCATTATCCTTTCTATTTAAAACCTAGAGAACTTAGGGTTTACTATAAGTTTTAATTTTACTGAAATTAGGCAAAAAAATCGAAAAAAGAAGAAAACTGAAATGCAGACGAGAAAGAATTTTTAAAAAAGAAGCATTTAAGAAGACAAAAGTGATAACCTCGCTGCCAAATCAAATGACAAAGAAGATAGAATGTAATCTCATTTTTCTCTTTTTAATTAGATTAGGGGTTTTCTTTTAAAATTTTTGTTTTGAAATTTTAAATTGGAAATAGAAGAAAAATTGGAAATAAGTTAAAAAAAAAATTGAAATGTGTAGATTGGCATTAGAAGAAGTGACATTCCTGCAGAAACAGAGCAAGAGGAAATCAAGAATTGATGCAATTCCTATGGTGCAAACTAAAGACATCGTCGTTAAAGTAATAAAAGGTGAACTTGATGGAGAAAAGAATGAGCTTGTTCTTCAAGACACTTTCGCTCAAGAAATTGTTGTCTTGGTTAAAAATCTAAACATAATATTAAAATTTGAGATTCTTGATGATAAAGATTGTTTGGGTTAACAACGAATTTAAACCCAAAAGTTATTTAGGTGATTTAGGATAAAACATATATGCTTTGAGTGATTTTAGATTTATTATTATTATTTTTTTGTTAATAACTTTCTTTTGTCACTGATTTGATAACATTTGATAAATATATATTTTTTCATCAAATACTAAAAAAAGGTAACCAAATCAACATTAAAGTACTAGATCAACTAATTTTTAATTTTTTTTCACACATTATCATAATGCATATATTTTACATATCAATTTTTATTAAAAAAATTTTATATTGTTACAAGTCAATAACATTAAATTTTTTTTTATATAAATTAAAATATTTAATTTTTAATTAAGTAATCATTTAAATTTTTAATCTTAAATTAAACATTTAACCGTTAATTAATTGGGCAATGAAGTCTTTAGGTGGGATATGAATTGATCACCATTTTTCTTTCTTTAAAAAGCATTTGAAACTCATGAAAACTATTAGTATTACTAATAAAAGAAAAGTACCCCAGAATTTCAAATTGTTTAACTCATGAAAAGAACATATGAAACTCCCAAGTTGCAGGCAATGCTAAATCGAAAAAAAAAAAAAAAATCAAATTTAGTCAAGAAACACGAAATTACTATTCCCAGCAGATATCGGCTAAACCCAAATTCAAGGACCCAGAAACAAATAGGAGCAAAATAGTTATCCACCCAATGGATTCATAAAAGCCTTAAAAGAATCGGTTAAAGTAGCCCAATGCATGGCCCTTTAGTCCAGAAATTACTTTTTCATGGGGTTCAAGATTGTTGGTCGATACCCATATGCTTAGCCTGCAATTTGCAGTTCTAAATATATTTATTTAAAAAAGTGGCATTATTGTGCTAAATGCAGTCATTATTTTAAACAACTAGATCAATATCACTTATTTATAATCATAAAATATTAAATTAATAGCCTTTCTAGTAACTTAAATCATAGATGTGCTAAATTTACTCAAAAAGGTTTTATGCTTTTTTTTTCTTCTATTTTTTAAAAGGTTCTTTAATCTCATAATATTTTTTTAGTACTTTATTATTATGATAAAATTATTTTGTGCAAATAGATGTAACAATTTTTTACTTAAACATATTTTTTATGAAAAAAATTTAATTAGACATATTCATCAATATACTATATACTAAAAAATATATAATAATTAACGTATCAATAACGTTCATGATCATAAAATATATTTGAAAAAACAAGAGATTCTACTTTTGGTAAACAAAGAACAGTTAAGGAGGTGATTGTCCACAAAATAGCACAAGTTGTAGTTTTCTTCCCAAAAAAATAAATATGCTTCACCTCAATTGACCACATTTATACCTTGTTTTTGGTCAATCATTAACAAAATATTATACCTTTATTATTGTTATAATATATATATATATATATAATTGAAGGAAATTGAAAGTCCACACCATTATATATACATGACGCTATAGTCCACCAAAACCAACAAATAAAGAAATAACTAAATGAAGTAGTTGTGAATTTACCCAATAGTCAACTTGATTAGAGGAGATTTCAATTCCGGCATTTCCTTCAAACTTTAATATCTATCAAATTACCCACTTGCTAATTGTGGCTTTCTTTTATTAGATTACGTCAACTTGCAGCAGTTTTTACTTGTTAATTCCTCTCATCCCCATAAACCAATTGGGAAAATAATCATAATGAAAGAGGAAGGTAACATTTATTAATTCTTAACGGTATATACTACTATATATATATATATAAGCACTTGGCTAGTCACTCCCTATTATACATTTTTTTTCTTAAAGTTTACATAATCTTTCAAGAAAGAAAGACAAGTTGGTAATTGGCAGGGAAATTTTAGGCAAATACTTGGAGTACCCGGGATGTCTTTCTCAAATTCATGTGTATATACTAGTTCATATAATTTAGCCAAGTTGAAAATGCCAAGTTCACATCTCTCTTCTTTCAACACCATCTGCTTTTTTCCTGTCAAAAACGAAAATGCCACAAGTTCACCAATATTGTAAAATTGTTCAATAAAAAAAACCCATATATATATATATATATATATATAGTTGAAATTCATGATTAAGCGCCCTAAGAGTTTCTTGAAATCTTTATATTTTGAGGAGAATCAAGCTTCGGAATAAGTTTTCATGGCCTAGGAGTAAGTGATGATGTGATTAACAAATTCTTATTAGTTAAAAAAAAAAACAAAACAATATATATTTGATCAAATAAGAGATTGTACCGTAGAAGAAAAGAGAATAAATACTCTCCCACCCTCCTCCACTCTTATCCAACGTCGCCCATCACCAAAAATTTCTTCTCCAAGCAAAAATCTCTCAAACCAGCTTTAACACCAAAAACAACCCCCCATGAACCCTAATCTTATAGCTTGTTACAATAATCTAACCAAAGAAGAAATCTCCAAGCTTGAGTCCATCATCCAAACTCACCATACCTTTCCTCTATCCTCAAACACATGCAAAAACTATAACGCTCCCCTAAGCCTTATATGGCCATTCGTACGCGATTTCGGAAACCCTAATAAGAACAAGCACTTCATCAAGAGTTGCTTAATGAAAGGAGATGGAAGAGCTGGAAGCATAAGAGAAGTTACGGTTATATCAGGCTTACCGGCGTCCACCAGCACCGAAATACTAGAGATATTAGACGATGATGAACATTTTTTGAGCTTTAGGGTTGTGGGGGGAGACCATAGGCTGAAAAACTATAGAGCAGTGACATCGGTTAATGAGTTTAGGGAAGGAGGGAATAAGGCTTATAGCATTGTTTTGGAGTCTTATTCGGCGGAGATACCGGAAAGGAACACTGAAGAGGACACTAAGATGTTTGTGGATACTGTTGTGAAGTTGAACTTACAAAAACTTGCAGATGCAACCATGGCAGCTTTAACAAGGCATGAAATAAAAGTTCCTTCATAGCAGCAGCCTTGTCAATGGAGAATGATATTGTGACGATGAAATTAGATATAATTAATGTATGTATGGTAGGATGATAATGAAAATTATAACTTTAACACATTTAATTTATATTATGAATTTTAAGAGGTGATATTTAGTATTTAAGATATTTGAATCTCATTATTTGTAATTTTTAAAAAACTTTACATTGTAACTTTTTTTAAAAAATTTCAAAATAAAACAATTGTTTTTTTTTTTTTTTTTATTGTTAGTGAGAATGTTTACTCTATTTATATTTATCTAACCCCATTTGCAATTAGTTTTAATATATCAATAATAAAAAGTGGAAAAATATGAAAATTTTCTATATAAATTAACACTATAATCATAATGTACTCCAAAGATTCGGCATAAATATTTTAGATAGGGAGCTAGCCTTGGTGAAATTTTTATTCCATACATGAATAAGAAATAATTGTGGCTACGGACGATAACCTCATTGATTAGGCCGCCGGCTACCCTTCATCAGGTCTGCTGTCCCAATAAATGTTCAGTAAGGTAAGTTAAAGACGGACCCCAACCTGATTTGCAATCTGTAAGGAAGAGAACAAAAACATTTTTGCTGTCTTCTCACAAAAGGAGAGAAGATGAGAAAAAATTACAGAACTTAAAATGAAAAGTTGATTAATGCTATGTCCCAAGCTGTAGTATAGTATAGGTCTGCATGAATATATCCAAAATAAGCAGAAAGAAGTCAACAAACTCTTCTGAATGCACGATTCCGACTCGCCTACAGACAGCCACAGGGAAAAAGACAGAAGAAGAAGAAGAAGAAGAAGAAGAAAATTGTTCCAATATTCTGTTTTAGATATGACTGCGATGAGTCTTTCATTGGACATGATCAGACTCGCCCATGGGCCATGGACTACTGTGTTTAATTTGGTTCTTAAAGTTGGATGATTAATGGGCCTAATATCCGATCCAAAAATATTACCATCGTAATATATCACACCCTTCCGTTCCAATAATTTTAAAATAAATGGTTTTTATCTCTCGATAACTAAATATATATTTATATTACTCATAAAACGTATGACGATATAAATAACATCAACTTAATTAAAAAAAATTAAAAAAAAAACAAATAAACGTCTCGCATCTTTCAATTTTTATATAATATCATTTTTGAAAGAAAACCACCTACTTTTATCTTAAAAAAACTACCCATTTATCTTTTAACAAAAAAAACATCATAACTTTTTCTTTTCTTCCAAAAATATTTTTAATTTCATTACTTTTTTTCTCTTCCACCATATATATATATAAATATATATATATATATATATTCTCGAAGTGTGAAAAGATTCGATTTTTTAAAAGAAATTAAAAATATAAGTGAAATTTTTACATGTTAAACTAAACTGACAAAGATGACAAAATAAAAAAATATAAACTAATATAATTATTTTATTTATTTATCCAATTATAATTAAAAAAACTTGTATAAGCACTAAAAAAATAATACTTTATGATCTATTTAGCTAAAATTAATTAATTAACATTTATACACAAAAAGAATGTCACAACAAGATTCATGTGAAACAAATAAAATAGAATTAAAACATTCTCCAAGATCAATTAATTGAGCTATTAAAGTCCTTAGGTGGGATACGAATTAAAAAACATTTGCTTGATTTTATGGACACATTGGAGGGTTGAGAATTGGGAGCTTTCTACTTTGGAGACATTGTTGAATATATATATTGTTGACAGCTTTATATGGTAATGATTGATCCAAAAACAAATCCATGAATGCTATGTGTCAAAAAAAAAATAGCATCCCCATTTCCTCATGCTTTCCTTATTTTTTATATATATATATATGTTTTGAAACATTATGATAACATTTCTTAACTAATTAAGCTTTTGATGAAATGGTTATTAAAATAGATAGATGTGTTTTTTTAGAAAAAATACTTTACTGTATTCGTGAAGTTATATTCAAGTATCATATATAATCTAAGTTAATCATGTTATGCAACTAGCTTTAAAAAATAATATCTATTGGATTAAATTCAAATCTTATCTCTAGAAATAGATAAAACAATCAAAAAAGAAATTAACATATAGTTAAATAAATCTTATATAAATTTGAATCAAATCTATGTAGAGGACTTGAACATAAAATCTTAAGATTCTAAAATCTCTTTTTTATCACTAAATCAAAACCTCATCAACATGAAATTAATATTAAAGTTAACGCAATTTCAAGATAAAATTGCTTTTCATAATATGTTATTTCGATAAAAAAGTACACAGCTATTCAATTATTTGACGTTTTTCAACTAATAAAACTACAGATTACTGCACTCTACTAGAGCTAAAAGACATGAAATTGTCAGAAATTAATTTGACAATCTTTAGTGAATTCTAATGTGGAACCGAGAGGGTCTGTGAGAAGGCTTCACTGGCAGCGCCTGGCATTAATGTTTGTAGTTTGCAATCTGAATACAACTGAGCTGTATTGCCAGCATTAATGTTGTTCTTGGCAATGGAAATCCTGCTAACAAGCTGAAGCAACACATGCTCAAACTCCTCTCCATTGCTCCATTCGCAAACTTCTGCTCTTATTAGCCTCCTGTTTTTGCAAATCAAGTCCCAAACTGGGAAATTTTTCCTTGGCATTACATAGTCTCCATCACCAAGCTTCAAACTTGGGCAGAAATCACCCATCCCATCACCGAGGTAGATTATTATTGGTTTCTTCTCCTCCATGGTTAGAGAAGCTTGAATCCTTTCAATCACAATACCCTATATACCATGAACGAATTAAACCATGCATAGTCAATTAAAATAAGTAGCGTTATATATATATATATATATATATATATATATATCCTGTATGCAGCTAATCATGCTTTGGATTGATTATGTGTAAGTAAAATTTTCCAGAAATCATGTGATTTGTCATGATCCACCAAAGATTGTTCCTTCTATATAAACCTATGTTATTAAAACGCTACAAGGAAGAATTAGAAATGGAGAGGTGAAAAGCTTTCAGATGCATGTGTCAGATAAACATTCTCACGGTCTTATTTTTTGCAGGCAAGAAAGGCAGATTTATATACCTTGCACATGTTTGGAGGGCATGGATTATCGCATCCGTGAGGAGATTTAGTAAAATCATGGTGAGGGAAGATCCTTAGCCTGCCTTCTGCATCAACAAAACCTGGGTTCGTATTGATCTCTGAGAAATATTCTCTCAGGCCATGATGCTCCAAAATTGTCTCGATAAAAAACATGTTCGCATCACTCACAATCTTCAAATCACACCTGAAAATAATAATGCCATTGCCACTGAAAATTTCAGCAATTTTCTAGTTAATTAGAAGACCAAAAAGGAAGAGAAATTAAAATGTAAACATACCCTAAAGCATGAGCTGATTTAATGGCTTGGATGATTCGGGGATGTATCGGAGTTATTTTCAGAACAGCTACAATGTCGTCAATTTTTGTTCCTTGTGAATGAAGTTCCTTCATCATTTGATCCTGTAATATTTGTACATAAATGGAAAAATAACAATGATTAAATCCTTGTTCTTAAATTTGGAAAATTAGAAGGAAAAAGAAAACATGCAACGGGAAAAAAAAGAAAATAGTAATTAATTACCATAAGAGAGTTCCAAGGCATGGTAGGGAGGAGTTGATTGAACAACTCGGTAGCACCCAACTCATCCAATACCCAGTTATCGCTATCACAATCGATGATCGTTTTATCGAAATCGAAAATCACAACTATGCGGCCTAAAGCTGCCATATTGATGATGAACAAGGGAAGGGTTTTGCGCGACAAGACACAGAAAGAGAAGGATATTTGATTGAGGTTTACGCTATGTTATGGGTTATAGAACCAACGGTTGGGAAGGTATTTATAGAAAGAAAGATGGTTTTTATGATTTTTGAAAAGATTCAATTTTTTTGTGTGATATTGGCCGTTCGATGTGTTGACAATTGAAAGATCTAATGGTTGCAAATAAAATAATACTAGTCCCATTTTGTTTATTATTGTCATTAGCGAACTGCTTTTATGGTAAAAAGGTGGGAATATTGAGAATATGCCAAGGGAAATACCTTCGAAAAAGGGCATAAACAGAGATATATGTTCGGATTTTGAGTTACATAAGATAATTTATTTATAATCACTTTTCACAATAGCATTATTCTTCTGTTTATAAGATTTAAATTAACATTTACCTTTAAGTTAAAATTTCGAAAACTTTCTAATATTCAGATTTTCTGTTTGTCTGGCCAGCTTTTTATTAGGTTTCATGGCCTAACCTGGGTAGCAGTTGTAACAATTATGGTAATTATTCGTATTGTTTCTGGTGCATAGAGGAAATAACAAAATGGGTAGTTTATACATGAAAAAAATGTCACAACAAGATTCTTGTGAAAGAAATAAAATAGAATTAAAACATTCTCTAAGGTCAATTAAGACTAAATGCTTAATATTAAACATTTAGGTGGTTGCTTAATTCAAAATTAAATGTTTTAATTTATATAAATAAATATTAATTATTATCGATTTGTAACAATATATGATTTTTTTTGTCAAAATATGCCACAGATCATTGTACTCTTCGATTTTTATAATTTAGTCCCTTTAGTATTATTTAAAAAAATTTAATTCTTATAGTATTATTTTTTAAAGATTTTAGTTCAATCGTTAAAAATGCATAGAGATTAAATTTTTTAAAAATAATATTTTAAGGACTAAATTCTTAGAAATCAAAGAATACAAGAATCTATGACATATTTTAATTGTTTTTTAATAGAAATTGAGAAATAAAAGATATGCAGCGTTAAATTTAATAAAGTAGAATTAAATTCTTTACATGGAATGACAGATGGAAAGGCTCTTGCTTTTCTTTTCTTTTTTTAAGCCTATTTGATTTCTCTTCTTCATTATCCTTTCTATTTAAAACCTAGAGAACTTTGGGTTTACTACAAGTTTTAATTTTACTGAAATTAGGCAAGAAAATCGAAAAAAAAAGAAAACTGAAATGCAGACGAGGAAGAATTTAAAAAAAAGAAGCATCTAAGAAGACAAAAGAGATAACCTCGCTGCCAAATCAAATGACAAAGAAGATAGAAGGTAATCTCATTTTCCTCTTTTTAATTAGATTAGGGTTTTCTTTTAAAATTTTTGTTTTGAAATTTTAGATTGGAAATAAAAGAAAAATTGGAAATAAGTTAAAAAAAATTGAAATGTGTAGATTGGCATTAGAAGAAGTGACATTCCTGCAGAAACAGAGGAAGAGGAAATCAAGAATTGATGCAATTCCTGTGGTGCAAACTGAAGGCATCGTCGTTAAAATAATAAAAAACGGTGAACTTGATGGAGAAAAGAATGAGCTTGTTCTTCAAGGCACCTTCGTTCAAGAAACTGTTGTCTTGGTTAAAAATCCAAACATAATATTAAAATTTGAGATTCTTGATGACAAAGATTGTTTGGGTTAACAACGAATTTAAACCCAAAAGTTATTTTGGTGATTTAAGATAAAACGGATATGCTTTGGGTGATTTTAAATTTTTTATTTATTTGTTGTTAATAACTTTTTTTTGTCACTGGTTTGATAATATTTGATAAATATATATTTTTTCATCAAATACTAAAAAAAAAGTAACCAAATCAGCATTAAGGTGCTAGATCAACTAATTTTTAATTTTTTTCACACATTATTATAACGCCTATATTTTACATATCAATTTTTATTAAAAAATATTTTATATTGTTAAAAGTCAATAACATTAAATTTTTATTTATATAAATTAAAATATTTAACTTTGAATTGAATAATCATCCAAATTTTTAATCTTAAATTAAGTATTTAACCGTTAATTAATTGGGCTATTGAAGTCTTTAGGGGTGGGATACGAATTGATCACCAATTTTCTTTCTTTAAAAAGCATTTGAAACTCATGAAAACTACTAGTATTACTAATAAAAAAAAAAAGTACCCCAGAATTTCAAATTGCTTAACTCACGAAAAGAACATATGAAACTCCCAAGTTGCAGGTAGGGATGGCAATTAAGTCCGTTCCCGACAGGTTTCGGCTCGACCCAATCCTATAGGGTAGGATTATTTTTTTTTGAATTTCGGATTTCGGGTCGAGGTCGGGTCGGGTAAAATTAGGTACAATCGGGGTCGGGTCGGGTTCATGTATTCTTAAAACCCGATCGGATATTATTAAAAAATATTTTTTAATTAATTAATTATTTATTTATATATATATATTTATATAATGATATTTTTAAATATTTATATTTAAAAAAATAATATTTTATATTTTAAAAAATAATATTTTATTAATTTCGATTCGAGTCGGATCGGGTACGATTTACATAGTATCGAGTCGGGTTCGGGTATTTAAAAAATTCGGGTCGGATTCGGGTTTAGGATAACATAAATCGGGTCGGGTTCGGGACGAGCAAAACCCGACCCGATGCCATCCCTAATCGCAGGCAATGCTAAATCCAAAAAAAAAAAAAAATCAAATTTAGTCAAGAAACACGAAATTACTATTCCCCAGCTGATATCGGCTAAACCCAAATTCAAGGACCCAGAAACAAATAGGAGCAAAATAGTTATCCACCCAATGGATTCATAAAAGCCTTAAAGGAATCGGTTAAAGTAGCCCAATGCATGGCCCTTTAGTCCAGAAATTACTTTTTCATGGGCTTCAAGATTGTTGGTCGATACCCATATGCTTAGCCTGCAATTTGCAGTTCTAAATATATTTATTTAAAAAAGTGACATTATTGTGCTAAATGCAGTCATTATTTTAATTAACTAGATCAATATCACTTTCTTATTTATAATCATCAAATATTAAATTAGTAACCTTTCTAGTAACGTAAATCATAGATGTGCTAAAATTACTCAAAGAAGGTTTTACGCTTTTTTTTTCTTCTATTTTTTAAAAGGTTCTTTAATCTCATAATATTTTTAAAAGGCTACGAAATATGACAAAATAAAAAAAATATAAACTAATATAATTATTTTATTTATTTATCCAATTATAATTAAAGAAACTTGCATAAGCACTAAAAAAATAATACTTTATGATCTATTTAGCTAAAACTAATTAATTAACATTTACACACAAAAAGAATGTCACAACAAGATTCATGTGAAACAAATAAAATAGAATTAAAACATTCTCCAAGATCAATTAGTTGAGCTATTAAAGTCCTTAGGTGGGATACGAATTAAAAAACATTTGCTTGATTTTATGGACACATTGGATGGTTGAGAATTGGGAGCTTTCTACTTTGGAGACATTGTTGAATACATATATTGTTGACAGCTTTATATGGTAATGATTGATCCAAAAACAAATCCATGAATGCTATGTGTCAAAAAAATAAATAAATAACATCCCCATTTCCTCATGCTTTCCTTATTTGATATATATATATATATATGTTTTGAAACATTATGATAACAGTTCTTAACTAATTAAGCTTTTGATGAAATGGTTATTAAAATAGATAGATGTGTTTTTTTAGAAAAAAATACTTTACTGTATTCATGAAGTTATACTCAAGTATCATGTATAATCTAATTTAATTAGGTTATGCAACTAGCTTTAAAAAATAATATCTAATGGATGAAATTCAAATCTTATCTCTAGAAATAGATAAAACAATCAAAAAAGAAATTAACGTATAGTTAAATAAATCTTATATAAAATTGAATCAAATCTATGTAGAGGACTTGAACATAAAATCTTAAGATTCTAAAATCTCTTTTTTATCACTAAATCAAAACCTCATCAACATGAAATTAATATTAAAGTTAACGCAATTTCAAGATAAAATTGCTTTTCATAATATGTTATTTCGATAAAAAAGTACACAGCTATTCAATTATTTGACGTTTTTCAACTAATAAAACTACAGATTACTGCACTCTACTAGAGCTAAAAGACATGAAATTGTCAGAAATTAATTTGACAATCTTTAGTGAATTCTAATGTGGAACCGAGAGGGTCTGTGAGAAGGCTTCACTGGCAGCGCCTGGCATTAATGTTTGTAGTTTGCAATCTGAATACAACTGAGCTGTATTGCCAGCATTAATGTTGTTCTTGGCAATGGAAATCCTGCTAACAAGCTGAAGCAACACATGCTCAAACTCCTCTCCATTGCTCCATTCGCAAACTTCTGCTCTTATTAGCCTCCTGTTTTTGCAAATCAAGTCCCAAACTGGGAAATTTTTCCTTGGCATTACATAGTCTCCATCACCAAGCTTCAAACTTGGGCAGAAATCACCCATCCCATCACCGAGGTAGATTATTATTGGTTTCTTCTCCTCCATGGTTAGAGAAGCTTGAATCCTTTCAATCACAATACCCTATATACCATGAACAAATTAAACCATGCATAGTCAATTAAAATAAGTAGCGTTATATATATATATATATATATATATATATTCTGTATACAGCTAATCATGCTTTGGATTGATTATATGTAAGTAAAATTTTCCAGAAATCATGTGATTTGTCATGATCCACCAAAGATTGTTCCTTCTATATAAAACTATGTTATTAAAACGCTACAAGGAAGAATTAGAAATGGAGAGGTGAAAAGCTTTCAGATGCATGTGTCAGATAAACATTCTCACGGTCTTATTTTTTGCAGGCAAGAAAGGCAGATTTATATACCTTGCACATGTTTGGAGGGCATGGACTATCGCATCCGTGAGGAGATTTAGTAAAATCATGGTGAGGGAAGATCCTTAGCCTGCCTTCTGCGTCAACAAAACCTGGGTTCGTGTTGATCTCTGAGAAATATTCTCTCAGGCCATGATGCTCCAAAATTGTCTCGATAAAAAACATGTTCGCATCACTTACAATCTTCAAATCACACCTGAAAATAATAATGCCATTGCCACCGAAAATTTCAGTAATTTTCTAGTTAATTAGAAGACCAAAAAGGAAGAGAAATTAAAATGTAAACATACCCTAAAGCATGAGCTGATTTAATGGCTTGGATGATTCGGGGATGTATCGGAGTTCTTTTCAGAACAGCTACAATGTCGTCAATTTTTGTTCCTTGTGAATGAAGTTCCTTCATCATTTGATCCTGTAATATTTGTACATATATGGAAAAATAACAATGATTAAATCCTTGTTCTTACATTTGGAAAATTAGAAGGAAAAAGAAAACATGCAATGGGAAAAAAAGGAAAATAGTAATTAATTACCATAAGAGAGTTCCAAGGCATGGTAGGGAGGAGTTGATTGAACAACTCGGTAGCACCCAACTCATCCAATACCCAGTTATCGCTATCACAATCGATGATCGTTTTATCGAAATCGAAAATCACAACTATGCGGCCTAAAGCTGCCATATTGATGATGAACAAGGGAAGGGTTTTGCGGGACAAGACACAGAAAGAGAAGGATATTTGATTGAGGTTTACGCTAGGTTATGGGTTATAGAACCAACGGTTGGGAGGGTATTTATAGAAAGAAAGATGGTTTTTATGATTTTTGAAAATATTCAATTTTTTGTGTGATATTGGCCGTTCGATGTGTTGACAATTGAAAGATCAAATGGTTGCAAATAAAATAATACTAGTCCCATTTTGTTTATTATTGTTATTAGCGAACTGCTTTTATGGTAAAAAGGTGGGAATATTGAGAATATGCCAAGGGAAATACCTTCGAAAAAGGGCATAAACAGAGATATACTTGTGAGAGAGAAAAGGTCAAGTGACAGGAGAAACTTGGTTCTTAAAAAAACTACCCACTTGTCTTTTAACGAAAAAACATCACAAATTTTTTTTTTCCAAAATATTTTTATTTTCATTAATTTTTTTCTCTTCCATCCATAAAGTATGCATATATATATATATATAATTTTATTTGAAATGTAAAAAAATTCGATTTTCTAAAAGAAATTAGAAATATAAGAGAAGTTTATAGAGGTTAGACTAGGGTGGCAAAGGTGACAAAATAAAAATGTATACTAATATAGCTTTTTTTATTTATCCAATTATAATCAAAGAAACTTGTACAAGTGCTAAAAACATAATACTTTATGGTCTATCTAGCTAAAACTAATTAATTAATATTTATACATGAAAAGAAGATTTATGTAAAGTAAATAAAATAAGATTAAAACATTCTCTAACGTCAATTAATTGGGCTATTGAAGTCTTTAGGTAGATTACGAATTGATCACCATTTTTCTTTCTTTAAAGAGCATTTGCTTGACTTTATGAACACATTGGAAGGTTGAGAATTGGGAGTTTTCTACTTTAGAAACATTGTTGAATATATATAATATATATATATATATATATATATTTGACAACTTCACATGGTAATTCTTGATCCAAAAACAAATCCATGAATGCTATGTGTCAAAAAAAAAAAAAAAAGCAACCCCACCTCCTCATGCTTTCCTTATTTGATATATATATATATATATATATATATATATATATATTGAAACATTATAATAGCATTTCCTAACCAGGCTTTTGATGAAATGGTCATTAAAATAGATAGATGCATTTTTATAGAAAAAATAGTTTCCTGTATTTATGAAGTTATATTCAAGCATCATATATAATTTAATTTAATTATGTTATATAACTACCTTTAAAAGATCATATCTAATGGGTAAAATTCGAATCTTATCTCTAAAAATATGTTTTTTTATAAAAAAAATCATATCAAATAGATAAAACAATCAAAAAAGAAATTAACTTAAATAAATTTTATACAAAATTGAATCAAATCTATGTATAAGACTTGAACATAAAATCTTAAAGTTCTAAAATCTCTTTTTTATCACTAAATTAAAACCTCATTTAAATTAATATAAAAGTTAACGCAATTCCAAGGTAAAATTTCTTTTCATAATATTTTAGAGTATTAAAGATGTTATTTCGATAAAAAAAAATACACAGCTATTCAATTATTTGACGTTTTTCCACTAACAAAACGACAGATTACTCCACTCTCCAAAGCTAAAAGATATGAAATTGTCAAAAATTAATTTGCTAAGCCTTGGCATCATCCATATTTTTAACTAGGACAATCTTTAATGAATTCTAATGAGGAACCGAGAGGGTCTGTGAGAAGGCTTCATGGGCAGCGCCTGGCATTAATGTTTGTAGTTTGCAATCTGAATGCAGCTGAGCAGTATTGCCAGCATTCTGGTTCTTGTCAATGGAAATCCTACTAACAAGGTGGAGCAACACATGCTCAAACTCCTCCCCGTTGCTCCATTCGCAAACTTCTGATTTTGTTAGCCTCCTGTTTTTGCAAATCAAGTCCCAAACTGGGAAAGTTTTCCTTGGCATTACATAGTCTCCATCACCAAGCTTCAAACTTGGGCAGAAATCACCCATCCCATCACCGAGGTAGATTATTATTGGTTTCTTCTCTTCCATGGTCAGAGAAGCTTGAATCCTTTCAATCACAATACCTTATATATCATGAACGAATTAAACTATGCATAGTCAATTAAAATAAGTAACATTATATATATCCGGTATACAGCTAATCATGCTTTGGATTGATTATGTGTACGTAAAATTTTTCCAGAAATCATGTGATTTGTCATGATCCACCAAAGATTGTTACTTCTATATACAATTATATTATTAAAATGCTATTAGGAAGAGTTAGAATGGAGAGGTGAAAAGCTTTCAGATGCATTTGTCAGATAAACACATGTTCCCAGGGTCTCTTTTTTACAGGCAAGAAAGGCAGCTTCAAAACTTTTAATTTATTATTAAATTTATATACCTTGCACATGTTTGGAGGTAATGGATTATCGCATCCGCGAGGAGATTTAGCAAAATCATGGTGTAGGAAGATCCTTAGCCTCCCTTTTACATCAACAAAAACTGGGTTGGTATTGATCTCTGAGAAATATTCCCTCAGGCCATGATGCTCCAAAATTGTCTCGATAAAGAACATGTTCGCATCACTTACAATCTTCAAGTCACACCTGAAAATAATAAAGCCATTGGCACCGAAAATTTCAGCTGGTTTCTAGTTAATTAGAAGATCAAAAAGGAAGAGAAATTAAGATGTAAACATACCCTAAAGCATGAGCTGATTTAATGGCTTGGATGATTCGGGGATGTATCGGAGTTCTTTTTAGAACAGCTACAATATCGTCAAGTTTTGTTCCTTGTGAATGAAGTTCCTTCATCATATGGTCCTGTAATATCAATTTGTGCATATACAGAAAAATAACAATGATTAAATCCTAGTTCTTACATATGGATAATTAGAAGCAAAAAGAAAACATGCAACGTGAAATAAAAGAAAATGGTAATTAATTACCATAAGAGAGTTCCAAGGCATGGTAGAGAGGAGTTGATTGAACAACTCGGTAGCCCCCAACTCATCCAACACCCAGTTATCGCTATCCAATCGATGATCGTTTTATAGAAATCGAAAATCACAACTATGCGGCCTGCAGCTGCCATTTTGATGATGAACGAGGGAAGGGTTTTGTAGGACAAGACACAAAAGGAGAAGGATATTGGATTGAGGTTTACGCTATGTTATGGGTTATAGAACCAATGGTTGGGAGCGCATTTATAGAAAGAAAGATGGGTGCTTGTGATTTTTGAAAATATTCATTTTTTTGTGTGATATTGGCCGTTCGATGTATTGAAAATTGAAAGATCAAATGGTTGCAAATAAATAATACAAGTCCGATTTTGTTTATTATTGTTATTAGCCAGCTGCTTTTGTGGTAAAAAGTTGGGAATATTGAGAATATACCAAGGGAAATACCTTCAAAAAGGGTATAAACAGAGATATATGTTCGGATTTTGATTTACATAAGATAATTTATTTATAATCACTTTTCATAATAGCATTATTTTTCTATTTATAAGATTTAAAGTAACATTTACCTTTAAGTTAAAATTTCGAAAATTTTCTAATATTCAGATTTTCTGTTTGTCTGCCCAGCTTTTTATTAGGCTTCGTGGCCTAACCTAGGAAGCAGTTGTAACAATTATGGTAATTATTCATATTGTTTCTGGTGCATAGAGAAAATAACAAAATGGGTAATCATGATTCAATGTTCTTATTCATGTTTCGACTCCATTATATCTTCTTTGATTTGTGGTCATGTTTGTTCTTATTTCTTTATGCTGACAGATTTGTGACCATGAGACCAGAATCGCACACAAATGTTGCTTTACTGGTCTTGTCTCTTGTTTTTTTTCTCTTCATGATTTGTTATTTCATGGATTAAAAAGTTTTGTTATTTCATTAATCATTTGGAATAAAAAGTTCTGTAAGTTCTTATCAGTGGAAGCATTATTCACTGAGAATGACAAATTTGTTAGTTCTTATTAGTGGAAGGATTATTCATTGAGAATGACAAATTTCAACGTAAAGAGATGCTATATTTTTCCTATTTGTTTATTTCTCACCTTGAATATTTTATCTAAATTTGGTTGCTGATTGAGGTGAATGCATCGCAGCCTTGTAGAATATTTTGAGCGGACAAAAATGGTTATCTAATTGCCACTATTCAATTTCTTAACAAATGCTACAGGGACAATGGCTGATTAATACACTGAATTTACGGAAATATAAACAGGAGGAGCATTTACTATTGACAGGTAAATACAAGCCCACCTTTTCAAATGCTTGAATATTTTATCTGAATTTGGTTGCAGATTGAGGTAAATGCAGCCTTGTAGAATATTTTGAGCAGACAAACATGGCTATCTAATTGCCAGAGTAAATTTCTTGACAAATGCTGTCGGGACAATGGCTGATTAATACACTGATTTTACGAAAATATAAACAGGAGGAGCATTTAATATTGACAGGTAAATAGAAGCCCACCTTTTCAATTGCTTGTCAGTCTACTATGGAGAAGCAGCCAAAAAACCAATCCAATAAACACCAAAATAAAATGTGATGAATCTTTAGACTGCAGGGGTTCTATGATGGCATCCCTATATGGAATTGCTGAAGCGAATGACAGCAGGGTTTTACTTCATCCGATGAAGTATTTTTTGCCAAAGCACATGGAGTCTGAACTCTGAACTGATATGGTTCTGCTGTGATTACCAAAAGCTTGACAGACAAATCTCCAACTATGGCTTCCTCGAGGACCTTTTTAACAAAAAACATCATAACTTTTTCTTTTTTTCCAAAATATCTTTATTTTCATTAATTTTTTTCCCTTCCACCCACAAAGTGGGTATGCATATATAAATATATAAATATATAAATATATATATATATGTAAAATCTTATTCGAAATGTAAAAAGATTCGATTTTCTAAAAGAAATTAGAAATATAATTAAGTGAAGTCTATAGAGGTTAGACTAGGGTGGCAAAGATGACAAAATAAAAAATATATACTATGCTAAAGCATTCTCTTAAGGTTAGTTAATTGGGCTATTGAAGTTTTTAAGTGGGATGCGCATTGATCACCAATTCACCATTTTTTTTTTAAAGAATATTTGCTTGATTTTATAGACACATCGAATGGTTGAGAATTGAGAGCTTTTTACTTTAAAGATATTGTTGAATACATATTGTTGACAGCTTTATATGGTAATTCTTAATCCAAAAACAAATCCATGAATGCTGTGTCAAAAAAATAACATCCCCATTTCCTCATGCTTTCCTTGTTTGATATATATATATATATATATATAAAATTATTTATTTATATATATTTTGAAAGATTATGATAACATTTCCTACCCACTCTGGCTTTTGATGAAATAGTAATTAAAGTAAATAGATATGTTTTTATAAAAAAAAAGTACTTTGCTACATCATGGAGTTATATTCAAGCATTATATATAATTTAACCTAATTATGTTATGCAACTACTATTAAAAGATAATATCTAGAGTTGGTATCGGGTCGGGTTTGGGGCGGATTTTGCTCATCCCAAACCTGATCCTATCCGATTTTTTTTTGTTTTTTTATATCCGAATCCGATCCAACTTTGATACTATATAAACTGTATTCAACCCGACCCGATTTGAAATTAATAAAATATTATTTTTTAAAATATAAAATATTATTTTTTAAATATAAATATTTAAAAATATTATTATATAAATATATATAATTAAAAAATTAATTAAAAAATAATTTTTTATATAATATCAAGTCGGATCTGGTCGAGTTTGCCTAAAATCTGAACCCGACCCGACCTCGATTGTTTTATAATCTTATCCGACTCGAAACTCGAATTTCAAAAAAAAAAACCAATCCCGTAGGATCAGGTCGAGTAGAAACTGATCGGAGATAGGTTAAATTACCGACCCTAATAATATCTAATAGGTTAAGTTCAAATTAATATGTTTTTTTAAAAAAATCAAATCAAGAAGATACAACAATACCAAAGAAATCAATATATGGTTAAATAAATCTTATATAAAATTAGATCAATTCTATATATATATATATATATATATGATTTGAATCTAAAATTTCAAGGTTTTAAAATCTTTTCTTTATCACTAAATCAAAGCCTCATCATCATCGACATGAAATTATAACTTTAAGCTATAGTTTCTCATCATGTTATAGTAGAAATTCTTCATTTTTTGAATGAAATATAGTTTTTGTTAAAATATATTAAGCTTAAATACTAAAAATCTCATGAATTATTCTACTTTTTAAAGTAAGTTTTTATATTTTTATAGTATTAAAATAAATTTTTATTTTTAGATTTATAAAAAAAAAATTCTCTCCACAACTTAAAATATAATGTAAGTTTTCATCACTTTATCCAAAAATAAATAATGCAATTTAAACTAAATCTAAAATTAAAATTTGTTCAAATCATTACATATCCCCTTTCTGAATTCTGATAGTCCATATGCTTTTTAATATAGTGAATGCCATACGCCTTAATTAGTCACTTGGCCATCAAAACAGAGCTGCCTTTCCTCATTGAGCAAAAGTAAACGCAGTTCCAGGGTAAATTTTCTTTTCATAATACTTTAGAGTACTAAAGATGTTATTTCAACTAAAAAAATACACAGCTATTCAATTATTTGACGTTTTTCGACGAACAAAACTACAGATCACTCCATTCTCCAAAGCTAAAAGACATGAAATTCTCAGAAGTTAATTTGCTAAGCCTTGGCATCATCCATATTTTTAACTAGGACAATCTTTAATGAATTCTAACGAGGAACCGAGAGGGTCTGTGAAAAGGCTTCATGGGCAGCTCCTTGCATTAATGTTTGTAGTTTGCAATCTGAATGCAGCTGAGCAGTATTGTCAGCATTGTTGTTCTTGTTAATTGAAATCCTGCTAACAAGGTGGAGCAACACATGCTCAAACTCCTCCCCATTGCTCCATTCGCAAACTTCTGCTTTTATTAGCCTCCTGTTTTTGCAAATCAAGTCCCAAACTGGGAAATTTTTCCTTGGCATTACATAGTCTCCATCACCAAGCTTCAAACTTGGGCAGAAATCACCCATCCCATCACCGAGGTAGATTATTATTGGTTTCTTCTCCTCCATGTTCAGAGAAGCTTGAATCCTTTCAATCACAATACCCTATATACCATGAACAAATTAAACCATGCATAGTCAATTAAAATA